ACATTTTGCCAATGGAAGAAGACAATTTACACTTAAAATAAGAAAAAACAATTGCATTGTCTTATTTCAAGTGCATATTATCTAATTATCTTATTTTAAGAGTAAAAACACTCATTCCATTGGCAAACTATCTCATTTAACTACTCAAATTAAGGGTAAATACACTTAATTTAAGAAATCTTTACTTATTTCTAGATCGTTTTTCCAGTGCAAGGACTAATTCATGAATAAAATTATTTTGTTATTATTTGTACTTTTTCACTTCAAAACCAGCTGATGCACGGAATAATAAAATTAAGCTGAAAACCTAAAATGGTATGATTAATAGGGAGTTTTGTTAATCTTTGTACCTTTTTTAATGGTTTTGTAATCATTTTATAATGTTTTTTTTAATATCATGCTTACTGTATTACTTGATTAAAAGTTTTTCTCTCCACTGTCGCTAAAAGCATGCTTGGTGTGAGGGTTTGCTGTACAGTCAATGAGTCGATGCAATCAACTGCTTTTTCCGTAATTCCTTGAGTGTCGTGAATTGTCACTATAGAAATAAACCCAATTACATTGAATTAAATTAATCCGATTTTATCCTTTTTTTGTGCAAAAAACTGCTTGATAGGAGACATTATTTTCCCATTGTTTGCCATCATTTTAAAACCTGAATCTGTGCTTTTTTTATTTTCATTTTGAACTAACGTATTCACTCAGGCTGCACACCTTCTAGACAAGGCGAGTCCTGAAGGCTGATCTTACTTTCGCCTGAGAGGCTGTTTTTCAGTGTGAGATGTTTTGGAACAGGAGTTCAAAGGTTATCCAACATCCCTCAGTTTGTCCAAAACTGTCTGAAACTTGTTTTGGTTACGTTGCATGTTAATCCCTCCCAGCTTATGTTTAAGCGTTAAGTAGTGAAATCCTTTGTCTGACCCAAACAGACAGAATATTGTCGACTGTATCTGTTCTCCTTGAAAGGATTAATAAATGCTGCTTGAATGAAAAACACCGATCCGACCATTTTTTCCCAAAAACACATCTAAAGTATGGAGGGTGATGAGTGCCGCTACACAAAAAATAAATATACAATGAAATAATTAATCTTTAAATTTGAAATAAAATCTTTATATTTTTCTGAGGCTCATATAATGCATTATATTCTTATTAAATCAATTCTATATTTTGTTTTTCGATTTAAATAAATTGATTAAACTGGATTATTATTATTATTATTAAATTAAAAACAAAACATTAAATCAGAGACGGAAGTTTGAGGAACTTAGTAAAAACTAGGAGAAAC